TCATAGTGGTATATGCCAAAACTGACAAACAGTATGTAAAGTAAGATGTTGCTGATTTGTCCATAGCTAGAGAATACTCTGAGGACTTGAGCAACTTGGAGTAGATATTCATAAGTCATCAGGTAGAATGCTTGTGCTGAATGATAAATTGTATATTTACTTAAAACTGTAGTTGACAGAGTTCTTTCATTGTTATTGCCTTGTTTTGAGTAGTTTATTAATGTGTGCAAGCAGCTCTGAGACAGAGTAATCAGTTTTTTTGTAACTGGCAGCTGTAGGGTAGATTAAAGCCCTACCCTATGGAAAAGTGGCCAGACTACTTTCCCAGCTTAAGAGGTAAGAGGACCTCTACCTGACCCACATGCTAAGGTCATTCTTTTAAATTGATTTGAAGTAAGGCTTCCCACCATTGTTGAAATTACTTGGAATGATGAAGGGAACCCAGGTCCAACTGACTGTACAGGAAAGCTTGAGATAAAGACCAGTGTCAGATTTGTGGATAGAGTTCTATGCTTTTATTAAAAAAAAAAAAAAAAAGAAGAAGAAAATAAATCAGATTTCTTTGGGGTTGAATGAGACATTGAGAAACAAAATTAATTACAAAAAAGGTAGTTTCCAGTTAATTAAAATATTCAGAAAAAATTTGCGGGTTTGATTAGAAATGTGATTGGTAGGTCAGTGCAGAACTTTTTCTTTCAGAAGATCAGAATTGAGAGACTGAAAAAAGAACTGTTTCATTTTAAGCAACAACAGAAAAACGGTGACTTAAAGTGTTATTTTTGACAGCTCTTTAGCTTCATTTTCTGAGGAGATTGTATTTAATATGATCATATGATCATGCTTTCTACTACAAATTTATACCCCTTTGTCCGGTGATATTAATCAAAAATCTAAATATAATTATTATTTTAGAATCATAGAATCATTATGGTTGCAAAAGACCATCAAGATCTATAAAGCTGAATCTTTGAAAAATCACCACCAATCAACTAAATCATCTTCTTCTCCTCTTCTTGAAAACCAGCAGTTGGATTAAAAAACAAGCAAGCCCCAGACCCCCAATGTATTGCTGTACCAAGGGAAGGGAAGGGAAGGGAAGGGAAGGGAAGGGAAGGGAAGGGAAGGGAAGGGAAGGGAAGGGAAGGGAAGGGAAGGGAAGGGAAGGGAAGGGAAGGCTCCTTTGGTGACTTCATGGCATGTAAAGCAAATCCATGCCCTGCCTTTCTCTGCCTTGCTCCTTGCCATGGGTTTGTACCCTTACTCACCATGGCAAAGTGCTAAGTGAATTTTCTTCCTCCTAAGTTCATATCCCAGTGAAAATGCACCACTGTGGTGGAGCTTTCAGCTAGGTCAGAAGTCCTACACAACTTTATGTGCAGTCTGGTGGCTTTGAAGCAGAATGGGAACATGTACCCAAAGGCAGGAGAGAGGTCAAGGTACAGCTCCCAGGGTAGAAATCACTTTAAGTTGCCATAAACATGGAAGCACCTTAACCAGCCAGTCTGTTCCCCATGTGTGACTTCAGACTGCCCACAGCCTGTTGGTTCTCACCTGGTTGAGTTACCCCTGCACAAGTGTGGGGGCCAGGGAACCAGCTCTGCTCTCATACTCATGCCTGGGATGGCACAGGGAGCCAGCTCTACTAACTATTCATCCCTGGGATGGCACAGGGAGCCAGCTCTACTAATTATTCATCCCTGGGATGGCACAGGGAGCCAGCTCTACTCATCCTCCTGTTCTCATGCCTGGCCAACTCAGCCTCACTGTGCTTTCTTCAAAGTAAAGTCCAATAGATGGTGGATATGGATACACCTAAAGGAAACTGTTGTATCAAGTTGCATTTCTGTAAAAGTGAAAGAAATTCAATTAAATGAAATGCATAGATAATACTTAAGTTGGAGGTATTTCAGTCCCTAGAGAAGAACAGAAATATTACAGTCAGTAACGCTAATGACAAGTTTTACTTTTGTGTCAGCTGACTATGTCAAGATCCCTGGGAAGGTTAGGACTCTGAAAAAGGCAAGGAAATGTACCAGTGGAAATGTTGTGGATACATGAGAGGAAAATGACAATAAATGTGTAAAACAAAACCAATAGTTCAGGAGTTTTTGACTGAGGGATGTGTGAATGCGAAAGCATCTGATTTATTTGCGAAATTATTGGATCCCAGAGCAGAGCAGGGAAGTCATCACTCCATGGATTTTGATGAACTATAGCTGGTACTTAAGAAAGTAGGCAAAGAAATATTCTAAGTTTAGAGAAGAAGTGTTCAAAATTAGGGAAAGTTCGTGGAATTTTTCATGTAAGAAAAATTACATAATCAGTGATGATTGATGGGATGTCTTTGTTAGTCCCAAATTTGCTACCTGTGTGCAAATCAGCTCTTATGGTAATAGCCACAGGGAGATACTGTTATGAAGAATACTTCACTACCAATTGACATTTTAACTAGTTTGGACTTGATCCACTAATGGTTTCAAATTACTAACATACCTCACTTTCTAATGTTAATTTAAAAAAAAGAAGTCTAATCCTCTGCTCAGTTTCTGCTTTATTCACTTATGCCAGAGATCCAAAGGCTAGAAAGGGGAAGAGCCTGTAGCAGGCTAGTGTGTACTGTTTAGAAGAATGGGTTTCCAGTCTGACTCGTTGGTCTCAAAGGTCTTCTCCAACAAAGTTGATTCTCTGATTCTGTATTTAAATTAACATTTCACCATTTTTTAGTGAAGTGAAAAAATTTGGAGGATCTAGGTGAGCTGCATGTCAGGGCCTACCCAAAGAACTTCTCTCAGAGGCCGATGGAGCATGTGGGATCCCAGCCCTGCCCTGGCTGGCGCAGAGGGGGAATCTGAATCCTGGTTCGTGCTCCTACTTAAACTCCCTGAACTCTGGAGGGGCTGGGGGCTGGCGGGAGGTGCCTGTCAGGTGCGCAGCACCGAACACCCGGAGAAGCTGATCCCGCCTTCCCCCGGCTGCCGCGGTGCGGGTGCGGTGTGGGTGCGGTGCGGGTGCAGTGCGGGGTGCATTGGGGTGCGCAGTTCAGTGCGGGGTGAATTGGGGGGTGCGGTGCGGGGTGCGGTGCAGTGCCCAATTCAGTGTAGCGTGCATTGCGGTGCGGTGCGGGGTGCAGTGCAGTGCTCAGTTCAGTGTAGCGTGCATTGCGGTGCGGTGCGGGATGCGGTGCAGTAGGGGGTGTGGTGCAGTAGGGGATGCATTGCGGTGTGGGGTGCGGTGCAGTAGGAGGTGCATTGCGGTGTGGGGTGCGGTGTGGGGTGCAGTGCGGTGCGGTGCAGTAGGGGGTGCAGTGAGGTGCGGGATGCGGTGCGCAGTGCAGTAGGGGCTGCACTGGGGCGCGCGGTGCGGGATGCGCTGGCGCCCCGGGCCCGGCTCCACTAGGTGGCAGGATGCCGAAGGGCTCCGCGCTGTTGTCCTGGAGCCTGGGCGGATTTAGCCCTGCCTCTACGTATTGTCTGAGGACATGATAAAATGCGGACAGTTTCCTGGAGTCCTGCCTGCCCGCGTTTCTTACTGGTTTTGTCATTAATAAAGCAGAATCGGGAAGGATTCGAGGGAGGTCTGAGACAAAAAGGAGCCCGGTGCCGTGACAGGGTAAGAGGGCACTTGTTGGCTCGGCGATCTACGAGGAAGAAATGTCAAGGCAAAGCGGAATTCTTTAGGAAAGCACAGCGGGGTGTAGCGAGAAACTTTCAAATAAAAAGTGTCTGCAAGTTTGCAAAGAGTAACAGTTGGTTAAATTGTAGCGCAAGCTATAAGTCCGTGGAAAAGTACGTTCGCTTCTTTACAGAGCCAGTTTAGAGGGCAGCGTCTGCATTATTAAGAAAGCATGGTCTTTTCCATTAGTATTTTTTTTAAGTTACAGAAATGAAAGGACACTGGAGTGTGTAAATATTAAAAAAAAAAAAAAGCAGCAAGTAAAATAAAATCCTGCACAGAATTAAATCACATATTCTTTTTTCTTGCTTCTTGTCATCTTTGTCTCTCTCAAGTATGCTTTCTGTTGTGTGCCATTAAAGCAGTGATTTTGTTTGTATGTCACACATATAAAGCTTCAGAAACAGCCTTAGTTTAGATCTGGGCGTTTGATTACTTACTTACTAAAGATATAACTTAATAAAGATATAACACTACAGATGTAACTTTAGTTCCTATCGTCTCGGTTCAGGTACGGGCCTGACAGAGAACTTGAAAAACTGAAGCAAGTGTACTTTAAAGTGTGCATGATCGCGCTTGTCCCGCACCCTTCCCCGTGCCGACCGCCCTCCCTCTGCCTTCAGCCCGTGGGCCGCCACGCTCGCCCTCGGGGCCGCACCGGCGTGGGGCGGCGGTCGGGGGCTCCTGGCCACGGGTGCCCACCGAGGCCAACGCCGCCTCGGCCCCGCGGGTCTCGGTGGGCTGCAAAAGGCGCCCGGTGTACCGGGACAGGCTCCGCGGTGAGGAGCTGCGCGCTCGGCAGGGCGAGGGGGTGTCCACGCCCCGCCGGGGCTGTCCTCGCTGCGCTGTCCCCGATGCCCTGGACAGAGGGCAGAAGGCGCATCGGGAGGGGTGCTCTCCCCACCTCGGCACTTGGTCAGAAGAGGGGATTCGTGCTGGGGAGAGGCTGGAGACCGGGGTGGGGCGGCTCGGGAAGCTGGGTCGGCAGGTGGAGGTAACGGGCTGGATGGGAGCCCTCGGGGAGCCGGGGAGGAGAGGCTGCGGGGGGAGAGCGGGGCGCGCCCGGTGCGCGGTGCCGGGCGCGGCGGGGAGGCGGGGGAGGAGCGGCGGCGGCAGCGCACGGGCTAGGGCCCCAGCCCGCCCGCCTTTGAACCGGGGCAAAGCAGAGGCGGGGAGAGGGGCCGGGGCAGGAGGCGGACGGTGACATCAGAGCGGCCGGGCGGATAAGGTGGGAGAGCCGCAGGAGCGGAGTGGGCGAGCGAGGCGTCAGCGATTAGCGGCTGCCTCCGGTTCCCCGCTCATCGCATCTCACCGCGCCTCACCTCACCATGCAGAGGTCTCCCCTGGAGAAGGCGAACATCTTCTCCAAACTTTTCTTCAGGTGGGAGCCCCGGTGCGGCGGGACGCGTGCGGGCGGGGGCAGCGGGCCGGGCTGGGCAGCGGCGGGCGGGGAGCTCAGGGGGCTCCGCGCCCCCCGCCCAGCCCAGCCCAGCCCAGAGGGGAACCGGGCACCGGGAGTCCGTGAGCTCTGGAATGGCCTGCGGGGAGAGCGGTGGGAGTCTCGCTGGTTGATGAGATCACTCTTTTTTGTTGTTGTTGCTGGGGTTTTAGCACCGGGAATGGGCTCCGTCAGGTGTCATAAACCTGTGCTGGACCCGAACAGATGAATTTATGACATAATTTGAGCAACCTTTGGTAGTTGCTCAACTAGTTAATCTGTTATTTCATGTAAACTTTGAGAACACCGTGGGGTGGTAGGGAGCAGAGGGGAAATGCTCTCAGAACAAGGATTCCTTCTGTTTGGCTCTTTGAGTGTTTAGCATTTGCTCAATGTGCAAGTGCAATATATGATCTTACTGGAAACAATTCCTTGCAAGCCTTGAAAATGTTCTCTTACAAACTAACTCCCTAGTGCCTTTTCTTTCTAAAAACTTCAAATAAAAGGAGAAGGAGCCAATACCGGTGCCTGGGCACAATTACTTTGTAAGACAATATGGAAGCTGAATACGTCTTATGTGACATAGCTAGAAATGACACTGTGAACTGGAAAGAACAAATAATCTTTTTGGCATTGGCCCACACAGCACTGGTTTTGCCAGAGTACTGGTTCCCCCTTTTGTTACTGGAGGGTCTCTTGCATGGCAAGGAAGGGCAGGAGGAAATCATGTGTAAGATGTGAACCTGATGACTAAAGAGAGAGCACATGGTGTAAAACTATAACATTGTCATGAGGTCTCTGCCTGAAAAACTGAGGGCTTTTAGCTCACTTTTAAACGCTTTTGGGATAGCTTTCAGCAGGTTGGTCTGGATGTTTTTAAAAGTTTCTTAATGGGACTCTGTATGAGTCACTGTTTGCCTGTCTCTCCCCTTTTGGCTCATTTTAGCCAGATATGATAGAGGGGAATAATCCCAAATATAATCTGTTCCTAAAGTTTTACAAACATCTAGGTAAATGTAGTGATCCTACACATTTTCTCCAAAGGTGCTGCAGTGGGAAAGAAGCCTTGCTTGCTGCCAAATACTGTTAGAACCAGAGATATGCATGGCAGGGATGTAAGCAATTATAAATTCTCCATAAATGATGCTTCAGTCAGTGCTGCTGTGAAGTGTAAGACAGAAACCTGTAGAAAAAAAGTATCTTAATTTAGTAGCTTGAGGGGGCCACTTGCTGTATTTATTTTTTTTTTATTCATAAACTTCTATAAATTTATCACCCTAGAACCTAGGTTGTTGAAGGTGTGAAGGAAAAAACTCAATAAGATAAAGCAAAGACATGTCTAATTCCTACCATAGTGAAAGTTTCCATGTTTGAAACCAGTTGCAGTTCATGCTCATTAAGTACATAATTAACCATGCTGAGGCCTGAGCTCATCTTTTAAATCACAGTCTTTAAGTCAATTGAATGTTGGTTTAATCATGTTTAGGATGCATGATGCATTATACTGTACCAGCTTTTGGTCAGGTGACTGTAACCAAAGTGATAATAATAAAATATGTGAAGTTAAGGAGTTAATGATGAATATAAATTAGAGCAAAGAAATGGAAAAAAGATGCATGGAGAGAGAGTGCTTTTTTCAATGATAATGAGATAGATGCTGTCAAGTACAACACAGTAAATGTTTCAGTGGAGTAACTTTTATCAGAGCCTACAATGCATGTATGTGTGAAGTACCAATCTGAATATAATGTGATAAGTTGAAGATCATGTTAGCACATGTGATGTTAAAATATTAGCTATGATTATTCAGGGAATCTTGCTGATAAATATATTACTATTTAATATTGTACAAGCTGTTATCAGCTATAGGTGTGTAAACATATTGGCAAGGTTTTATTGCTTCATAATCTATCCTGTTTGGGTAGGAGGGACAGGTTTAACATGTGTTAAAGTCAGAATAAATTCAGCTCATAACTGAATAGTTCATACATATTTTAGTATTGATTGGACCTTTTTTCTTAATTCTTTATGCAAAAAAGTGAGAAGAAAATGTCTTGCTATACAAAGAGTAGTATCTTAGCGAAAGTGTTATCTTTTTGCTGTATTGGTGATAGTGATACTACTGGGGCAAAAAAAATTTGCTAGAAGGGGTCATGATAGTAAGTATTTAAAATTAGAAATTGACTTTCACCCTAAATTTTAAATAGTTTTGGTTTAAAAACTGAGCTCTAGTGATTAAGAAACAAATGTGAAAACAAGTGGTTTGAGATCTTCCATTAGGGGGACACTTAGAAAACAGAGAACACTAGATACTGAGAGTTTGGGGTTTCAGGGATTCTTTTGTGTTTTGATGTATTTTCCTTATGATGTTTTCAGAGCTGATCTCTTTTGTTCCCTACCTCATGCAAAACATTCTTTTTGTTCATTGGCAACTTTTGACCTTCCTTAAAGAAAACAGAGCTTTATGCAGAAGTAGCCAGATCATCATATGCTTAGCTTCAAATTCACTGTGAAGCTTCACTTTTGTCTTTATAGCCATTACTTATTTTCTTCTGGAGTTTTGGGGTTATTCAGGGTCAAGGCCATACCTTTTGTCACAAACAATATCAGACTACTTTACAATCACCTAGTTTTTATTGAAAATTAACTGAGATCAGGAAGTCTTGTTAATTAATTTTTATCTGAGAACTGGAGCACAGAGTTATTGCTGGAGTTTCAGAAATGGCTGCAACTATGAGACAACTCTGATTTTATTACTGTTCTTTTACAAACAACTTTAGATGTAAAAATACAAGTTCTCAAAAAGTAATCCTTGTGCTTGTATCCAACTCTTTAAATACATACTCTTGCTTTGGTACTTATCAAACATGACAACACTTGGCAAGACCTAGTACTTTAGTACCTGATTCATTATTAAATCCAAATACTAACCCAGCTTTTGTGTCAAGTCTTCTCATGGATTCAGTCAATCAGATCTGCTCTGGTTGCTTCTTGCATCTGTACATTTACTCAGCTGTCCAGGGGTTCCTAGAACAATTTAGCCAGTATGGATAAATGTTGGATTCATTCTTCTGCCCTGTGTGTGTTGTGAGGGCTAGGAAAAGGAATTCAATTCCCTACCTCACCTCTTCTAGGAAATGTTAGCATCGTTTGGCAGTGAAGATGTTTTAGTTATCTATCTCTGGCTCAGCTAGTTTTTGGAGCATAAATCAAGAATTGCTGTGTACTCTTCTGAATAAAAAACTTCTTTGCAGGTCCTAATTCCTGGTGTGAGCTTCTTATGAAGTCTGCTAATAATCTTTAGGGTGGATAAGAAAATTCAGGACTAAGTACAAAACTAAGTACAGGCTAAGTTTTGGAAGTACTTAGCCTGTACGCTACAGTAATGTTATTCTGTCACTCTTTGTAGCTTAATTCAGTCATAATTTCAAGTTTAAGTGTGCCTTGTACAAGATAGTTTCTGGCATTTTCATGAGGATTAAATTGATTCTCTTCAGAAAAAGGAGCTAAAGCAGCCCTTTCCTGGGCAGTGCCTGCTCTATCCTTGAACAGCATATCTTAGAATGCAGTGACAAGTTACTAAGGATTTTCATTTTGAATTGAAAAATCTTGTGTTTTCCTTGCAAAGTTTGGCATTTAGTGTGTAAATTTTAAGCCAAAATTTGTCCTGACACTGTTTTGAATTCCTAAATGTTCCAGATTTTGTATAGGAAGCTTAAATGCCAAACTCATGTCTATAAATTTCACTCTGGAGGGCAGGTGTTTGCAAATTGTCATAGCCAATGTATATTTGGACCCTCCCTTATCAATACCTAGCTATAGCACTTTGTTCATCTTTCCTCTTTGAATAAGGAGCCTCTGTGTGCAGTAGCAGGTGAAGGGCACAGGGTCATGCCTCACTTTCTGGGGCAGCCAGCTGAGACGCTGATACAGGGCAATGTTTCTGTAGTGTGTCCTTGGGGCCCTGTGTGTCACTAGCCCTGGTGAGCTGCATTGCACTGACCCCAGGCATTGTAAATCCTGGCTGTTTGTGGTAACCAAGCAAGATGCAGCTGCAGCCCAGGTTATGGCCCTGTGAGGCTGCCTGATCATTTGTCTGCTGCCACAAGTGGTCCTTGCAGACCTGCTGGTCTGCCAATCCTTCAGAGCTGTCTAAAACAGGAGAGTGGCAGCTTCTGAAAGTCAGGTGGTTCAAAGAAGTGCATGCAAGTTTTGGACTCCTTCTGAAAATCTGACTTCTATTGCTGCTTCCAAGGTAAAGTATGAAACTTGAAGTGAACTGGAGAAAGGATGCAGAGTATCCTACACTTCAAGTAATTTCAGCCAGAGGAATACCTTTAACAATAAGGCCAAATTGTGTCCTTGGCTCAGCCTGGTACTGTATCCTTGGTCTAATGACCAAAAAGGCAAACCTTCTGTAGCACAGGGATCTTCTCTGGCTGCTTTGTAACTCTACAGGACAGATGCCTAGATCAAGTTGCATCTGACTTCTGAAATGTGTTTAAAGTCTGTTTTCTTCCTGCAGGAAGAAGACCTACTATCTTGATGCTCCAAATAAATTATCAAGCATTTGAAATATTTGCAGACTTGTCTGTACCTTGTTATTTTCTACATTTTGATTTTATTTTGGCGAGATAGAAATAATCCATCCAAACCCTTGATTTTTGTTTTAATACTGTAGGCAATGACATGGTTAGTAGATTTATTATCTGTATTATAGAGGCTTCTAAATGCACTGACAGAAATTTGAAGTCCTCTGTACTAAGCAAAATATTTGATAAGGAAGTATGTTTTGAAGATCTTGAAGTCTAAGCAGATAGCACAAAGGATATGTTAAAAAGAAGTTTCCTTACTAATACTTTAGAGAAAAAATGGGATACACAAGGATTGTGGTTTGTCCTAGAAGCATGTGGTGGAGTGAGTGCAATCTCCTGTCCAGAACT